AAATTTCGATAATTAATATCAATAATTCATTTGCTTCAAACATTCAAATTTACATAAAAATGAAATACAAATTAGAAGTAATAAAGATAAAATATCTTAAAGTATTGATAATACTTACCAACTATTTAATATAATAATCAGTTGCTTGACTTTCCATACTAACTACTAAGAAACTATACAAGAAAAAATTGAAAAAAACACAACTAACAAACATAAATAAATTCTAAATTGTTCAACTAATAAGATTTAATAAGAAAAAAATTATTAATTTATTTAGAAAAAAATAAAAGAAATTGATTTATCCAATATAAAAAAAAAATTCGGTTCTTATTCGATTCTGGGTCTAGAACCGAGAACCGAACCAAACCATTCGGTTCTCAATTCGTATACCCGTTCGTGTATTTCATTTTAAAAAACCCGCTCAATTCGGTTCGGTTCGGTTCGGTTCGATTCGGACATTTTGCCCAACCCTACAAACAAGCACTAAGAGCTTGCTTTGTACATATTCTCATTTTCTACAGCAAATTAAGCCCCCGTTTGGCACCCATTTTTTTCTCATTCTTATTCTCATTTTTTTTCTCTTTTTTCATTTAAACCACACATTCTATCAATAAAATAATATTACACATAAACCTAAAATTTTTTTTTACTTTTTAACCACACATTCTTCCATCAATCACTATTCAAAAACACATTCTTTCACAGAAATGGGTGTCAAACACCCCCTAATTCTCATTTTTAACCACTAATTTTTCAATAAAATAATATTTTTTATCAGATCAATACTTTCTTCTTCTTTTTCAACCACACATTTTCTATCATATTACTATTCAAAAATCAATTCTTCTTTCAAAAATCTTATCAATAATTAAGGCCTTATATGAGAGAGATTAAAATCGGATTAAAATTGAAAATATAACCGTTATTGTTGACTTTTATTAGACGGGTGGGACCCAATAATGACCATACTTTCAATTTTAATTGGATTTTAATCACTCCCGAACGGGGCCAAAGAATCTTCACTACAGTAAAAATATGGTGCAAGAAATAAAGACGACGAAAGGACCCTACCGTGTCCCTTCACACTCAATTCGCCACTCTCTCTCACTCAATGCGAGAAAAGTGTGGTACCGTAGTCCTCTGTAAATACCAAAAACTCGTAACCTAACTTAAAAAAATCGAAAAAAATTCAAAATGGTGTCTGCTAAGGGCAAGGAGAAGGTGACAGATGGAGGTAAGGGGAAAAGGAAATGGAGCGGTGCAGGCGGAGGAGACAACGACAAGACGGGACAGAAGCGAAAGAATCGCGGTGTGCTCCAGTTCTTCGATGATCGGGCGTATGAGATCGGCGAGGATGATGACGAGGATTCTAGCGACGATTCCATGCTTGATTATGGTAATTGAAATATTCAGGG